AGGCGTTGTTTTCCTTGCCACTTTTCTTTTACAGAACAACTTCCAAAAACTTTGTACACCCCCTAAGACTTTTCGAAAATTAAGTCTTCCCTTTAAAACTTTGGAAATAGGAAAATGCCTGAGACGACGACAAATTGCCTTGGTCTTAAATGCCAGCACCTTATTATTTTTGCAATTTTCGCATGCTTGAGCCCGCGTTGTTGACAGTATACCTTTGACGTAATATTTCGTTACTCGGCGAGCAGGCCCTCGTTTGACCGAGGGAAAGTATGAGCATGCGAGAAGTCTGGCAGACAGCCAGCAAACTAGATTGCACAAATTTCAGAGCGTGTCAAGAGTATTCTTGCGTGTTATAAAAACCATTACGGCAGCAAACATTTATTGACTGCTGCGAGAACTGTAGCCGTAGCATTTTCTGCGCTCTGTCAGACATCATTCGCCTCAGGAAATAGTTCAAGTCTTTCAAAATAAACATTTCATGTCTCTTTACTTGGATCAAATTTCGCCCGCCGAACCAAACAGTAGGGAAGTCGAAACTGCGAAAACCGTAAGCACACGAAAATAAAATAACAAAACTTCATATACAAAAGTCACACCTGCAGCCGTGTAAACCGGACACTAAAAGGTTGTCGTCATTTGCATATCGCATGCACCTGCGCTTTTTTAAAAATCTTTCAACTTACTGACCGAATCGAGATATGGCGTCCAATTTGAATTACCATTGTTTTGAACTTACTAGCGTCGTCTTCACGTGGAAACACAAAAGGAGGCTAGTAAGTCCTGAACAATGGCAATTCAAATTAAACGCCATATTTCTATTCGGTCAATGATGTTTACAATCAAATAAAAAATTAACCCATTCACTTCTTATTTGAGGGGTCCACTCCGAATTCATACTGCACAGTGTTGATCCTACTACAGTAAGCCTGAACTTTTCTGTTTCTAACCCAAATTTATTTCCAGTTTTCCTACTAGCTTATCATCCATACGATTTCAAGAGAAACCCATGTGGACCAACGGGTTATACCATGACAAAAAAATAATTCTTGGAAATAGGGTCGGGTAAATTACTGGTGTGTTGGCATGACTTTGGGCATAATGCCACAACATCGAGCATAACGTCGGCATAATGACTAAATTGCCTAAAAACTCAACAACAACAGCACTCAAAAGCAAAATGCACAATTATTCAAGCATGATTCGTCTGACCATACTTGACGTTTTGACAGGAAGTTGGCACTAGTTATAAATATGGGTTATTAACCAAGCTTGTTCGGTAAAGATGGCTGGATATTGGCCGAGTTCTTTTTTCGCACTTTCATGGACCGAGACGAAGTCGAGGTTCATAAAAAAGAGAAAAAAGAACGAGGCTTATATCCAGCCATCTT